CAACTCATCTCGTTGGCACTGTCACTCATATTCTTGATTCTGGCAACTCAACAGTATCCCAACTTACTGGCACAAGCAAAGTAAAAAAGGAAATCAAAGCCGGGCGCGGTGGCTCACGCCTGTAATCCTAGCACTCTGGGAGGCTGAGGCGGGCAGACTGCTCTAAGTCAGGAGTTCAAAACCAGCCTGAACAAGAGTGAGACCCCGTCTCTACTATAAATAGAAAGAAATTCATTGGCCAACTAATTATATATGGAAAAAATTAGCCGGGCATGGTGGCGTATGCCTATAGTCCCAGCTACTTGGGAGGCTGAGGCAGTAGGATTGCTTGAGCCCAGGAGTTTGAGGTTGCTGTGAGCTAGGCTGACGCCACAGCACTCACTCTAGCTTGGGCAACAAAGCAAGAAGACTCTGTCTCAAAAAAAAAAAAAAAGGAAATCAAGTCAGACAATGAAGGAATCACAGGATTTTCCTCTCCATATCCCCAGATACATGAGGTCATTCAGTGGGAGTTCCCAATGCCCCACAAATTCCCACACCCTCCCCAGTGTTCTGACCTAGGTACTGTATTTGAAAACGGTTTTCCAATTTCACCAAGTAAAATTATAAATACCCTATTAAATTGTGAACTCCTGGCAAGCAAAGATTATGTCTTCAGATATTTCTTGGAAAAGCTAATAAAGAAACCAGAGATTTACTAACTATATTCATTACCCTCCTTCCCAAAGTACTAAAAGTTTTAACAAGAAAGTTAAAATTTTAATCAAAACACACTAAAAATTACCACCACACCAAAAATTCAAAAACAAAACCAATAAGCTCATCTCCTTCTACTTGAGAGGACAGTTTAAGGGAGGGATGGGAGGGTGGGAAGACATCTTAACATAATCTATTTACAATCTGTGCAATTCCATCTAGTAAACAACACCGGATCGGGAACCAGACCACCAGGTTCATAATCATCTGTGCCATCTTCTTGACTGTGCAATGTAGGTCAAGTCACTTAACCTGGTCTCAACACTGACCACATTTTGCAAGTGGGAAAATGATCAGTTAGTTCACAAGGTTTTGGAATGGGCTAGGAGGAAGAGGGCTTCCTCATGATAGTGTTTTCAACTTCGATCTACCTTGTTTACAGCCATCAACGCAACACAATAAGGATGAACAGCCACAGCCCACAACTGGTTCATCAGAACCAATTTAAAGGGCATGACACAGACGGGGCCTTGTGCAAAGACTGTGCGAAGCAGCGCTGGCAACTTTTATGGGGCACACCTAGGGCATTGTGTTTAGAAGGTGACAGGTCAGTTCCTTGTCCAGGCTAACCGGCTGCTCCTACAGTTGGTCCCTCCCAACCTGGCACTCTGTTCCAACGCGCACCAGGGGTCACTCACGAAGTCACAACAGTGATTCAAGGGACAATTCCGAAAAAGGTGAGACACTAGAAGAAAGGGCAGAGCCCCAGTCAATGCCAACAGCCCCGCGACGCCGCCGCTCTGGGCTCCAATCTCGGAAGCTTGCGGCAGATCCGGTCCTCCCGTGCCCCCTCGGCAGAGACTGCAACCCCTGCCGACAACGCCAATTCCACCGGCTGCGACCCCAGGCGTCACCTCGCCAAGCACACTCGTGACGCTGGGAAGGGTGGGCCCAACGGGGACACCCAGGGAAACGCTCCGGCCTCCCCGGCACCCCGACGAAACGTCTTCTAGAGAGCAGCGCCCGGGATTCCGCCCTCACCTGACAGCCCCCTCCACGCCCGTCCTCGTCCTTCCCGCCGGGTCCCTCCCGCCGCCCCCTGCCCGGCCTCACCCCGGTCTCCCGCCGCCCCCTGCCCGGGTCTCCTCTCAGGCCGGCGCTGAGGGCGCTGCGGCCCGGCCGAGCCCAGTTCGCGAGGGCCTGGACTGGGTCAGAGCCCGCCGAGGACGCGGCCCGAGGAGCCGGGGGGGAAAACAGGCCCAGGAGGGGGCAGCCTGCTCACCTGCCGCAGGTCAACACCACGCGTCCGCCGGGCCCGAGTCAGCGCGCCCGTCAGCTACTCCCTCAGGCGCCGCCGCCGCCGCAGCCAAGCGGGCGGGCGCGAGGGCGGGGCGACGTGGGCACGCAGCGCGGGGCGGGGTCTGCGGTGACCACGCCCCAGGGAGGCACGTGGCTCCTTCCCCCGGGCGCCGCGGCCTGGAGGCCAGCCTGGGCTCAGCTGGAGGGAATTGGGAAGCTGAATGACTGCAAGTAATTAGCCAGAGCTACGCGCTTTTCTTTCCCAAAGTCTTTTCATTCTCTTACATCCGCTCAGTGATGGAAGAAATCGGGTTGTCAACCTTGACACCTCCCTCTGGGTCACTTACTAGTTGCATCCATTGACCAGTCCTGTGCGGCCACACTGCACAACCTCTCTCTGCTGGGTCCCCCGCTGCTTCCATCCTTTTTATCTGCTTTCCCTGCGCCTTCCTTGCCCCATTCTTCCAACTGCAGCCAGAGGTTCTTTTAGAAGCCCTAGTCAGATAGTTACCTTCTCTCTTTGCTTAAAACCCTCACAGAGCACCCAGTTGGTCCTCATCCATCCTGGGCTTACTCTGCTAGTCCTCTCCGCCCCCCACTCTTCAGGCTCATCTCCTGCTGGGGTCCCACCTGCCCTTTCGGTTCCAGACACACCTGCTTCCCATTGTTCCTTAACTACATTGTTCCTTAATCTGACTAACGACAGATTACATGATTGGTAATAGCCAGTGATGGCAAAGGTGTGTTGGCAGTGTTGGTGAGAGTTATCGGGCAAAGAGGTGTCCACAGAAAAAACAAGTTCTGCCAAAATATTTAAAGAGGTTTATTCTGAGCCAATATGACTGATTGTGATCTGGAGCTTCGCAATCCCAAGAGTTAGTGAGAGAGTGTGCCTGAGCCAACCAGGTTACCATTTGGTTTTATACATTCACTGAGACAGGAATTACAGGTAAAATCATAAATCAATGCATGAATGGTATACATCAGTTCAGCCCCAAAAGGCGGGGCATCTCAAAGTAGGGGCTTACAAGTCATAGGTGGGTTTTACGGATTCTTTAGTTGGCAATTGGTTGAAAGAGTTAAGTTTTGTCTAAAGATGAGTCAGAAAAAAGGAATGCTTGAGTTAAGATAAGGAGGTCTTCTTTTGTTGCTGTTGTTGTTGCTGAGACAAGAGTCTCTAGCTCTGTTGCCCAGGCTAGAGTGCAATGGCCTCACCATAGCTTACAGCAACTTCAAACTCTTGGGCTCAAGTGATCTTCCTGCTTCAGCCTCTCAAGTAGCTGGGACTACAGACAGGTATGCACCACCATGCCCAGCTAATTTTTTCTATTTTTAGTGGAGACAGGGTTCCCTCTTGCTCAGGCTGGTCTTGAACTCTTGAGCTCAAAGGATCCTTCCATCTTGGCCTCCCACAGTGCTAGAATTATAAGACGCGAGCCACCATGCCAGGCCAAGAAGTCTTCTATCTGTCATATGATACTATACCAAAATCAGGTTGGAAAGTAAGTCACATTATGCTCGATTAATAAGAAACCCATTTAATGAGATTTTATGGTTTGTAAGGTATGATTCATCAGGCACTCCAGTCCTGGTAACAGAGCCAGGGCAAGACTCTGTCTGTCTCAAAAAAAAAGGGAAGGAAGCAAGGAGGGAGGGAAGAAGGAAGGAAGGAAAAATACACTCCCCCTCCATCACCCCCCCACACAAAAAATTGAATTAAACTGACTGGTGCTGATTGGAGGAGGGGTAGCTGTGAGATAACGTGGGGCTTACCCTGTGCAGAACATAGGACAGCCCAGTAAAGGTTAGCATCATTAGTGTATGTCCCTGGGCTGGGTAAACTGTCAGGTCCTTTATAGCAAATACTTTATCACTTTCCCACAGAAAGAGCTGAGTCACTGATGAGTGCACCAGACAGTAGCCAAATCTCTGCTCTCAGGCCTCAGGCAGGTACAGGGTTGTGGGCTGGGCTGGGCTTCAAGGAGACAAGACCTTTGGCTTCAGGCTGCCAAAAGCTCAGCTCACTTCACAACATCTCCCAGGCCCCAGCATGACTGGCTGGAAACATAAGGAGAGAGATGCCATTCCTTGCAACGCATTGCCTTTGCTGATTTCCAAGCTGCAAGTTCAAGAGGCCAAAGGCACTGGCGTTAACACTGACCCTGGGAGGCTACACTCAACTGAACCTGGGTACTAGGCCCAGCTCCAAGGGCATGAGACCCAATGCAGTTGCGCAGGGGCCCATGCTCAGAAGGGACCATGCTTGGTTAATGCTCTGCTGTTGCTGTCTTGACGTTCCTGGGGGTGGGGTGGGGGTCAAGACCAGTACATTTTGGGATGAATGAATGAGAAAGTGACCGCTCCCACCCTGTTGGCAGTGAAGTCTGCAGTAGAGGGCTGAGAGGGGTGCATATCTGAGTTTTAGCTGAACACAAAGAAATCTCACATTTCTGTTAAAAACCATTCTAGAAAGAAATTAATTGGCCAACTAAAAATATATAGAAAAAATTAGCTGGGCATGGTGGCGCATGCCTGTAGTCCCAGCTACTCGGGAGGCTGAAGCAGACGTCGCTTGAGCCAGGCTGAGGCCATGGGCACGCACTCTAGCCTGGGACAAGGGAGACTCTGCTCACACGACACACATGCGGTGTCACACACGACACACACAACACACAGCGGGGCACCACACACACCCTCGCGTCGCTCGCTCCAGCAGACCCGGGCTTCAGTGAGGCGAGAGTGAGCGGCCAGGAGTTATCATCTGTAGGCGACACCCAACTCAGACGTCCGTGAAGAAAAACCTTTCTCCCGTTGTCGCCCCCGCGGACGGACCCAGAGTTCCCCGAGCCCGCGCGGCCGGCTCAGGGCCGCTCCGCACCCGTTCGCTCCGCTGCGCCCGCGGCGACCCCGCACCGGAAGCGGGTCGGTGCGGGGCGCATGACCATCGGGCCGGGGGCGGCGGCGCGGTCGCCGCGGCGCGCCGCAGGGGGCGCTGTGCCCGCGGGGCGGGGCCTGGCCGGGTGGTCCCGCCGAGCGGCGGAGGGGAGAGCGTCGCACCGGGCAGGTTCGGGGCCCGCGGCACCCCGAGGTCGCGGCCGGCCGCCCCCGCCCCGCGCATGGCGGACAAGAAGCTGGTGGTGGTGTTCGGAGCCACAGGTACGCGGAGCCCCGCGGCGTCCGGGGGGCGGGCTGCGGGCGCTCGGACCCCACCCGGGCGGGCCTGGCCGCAGCAACCGGCGCGGGTCGATTTTGAGTTTTTTTGTTTTTTTTGGGGGGGGGTTGTTTGTTTTAGAGACAGAGTTTGGCTGTGCGGCCCCGGCTGAGTGCGGTGGCGTCAGCCTAGCTCACTGCCGCCTCCAACTCCTGGGCTCAGGCGACCCTCCTGCCTCAGCCTCCCACAGTGCTGGGGTTACAGGCGAGAGCCACCGCGCTTGGCTGGATGTTGAATTCTTAAAAAATTAATTACTTTAACTTCTTGGAATAGGAGTACTTGAACCATGGTACCAGAAGTAAATCTCCTTCCCACTTGCCCTGCCACCCCGTCCATCACTGTTACCAAGTTTCTTGTATTCTACCAGAGCATCTATGTATATATACATAGATGTTTTTTCAGATGGTAGCATATTATTTTGCCCCACCTATTTTTTCTTTGCATATATTTAATATATAACAGCTTTATTGAGGTATAATTCACATACCATGTGATCCACCCACTTAAAGTGTGCAGGTTATTGATTTCTTTCTTTTTGGTAAATTCCAGGCACCTTGCTAATATTGGTTTCTGGTATATTTGCGGAGTTGTGCTGCCACCACCACAATCAGTTTGAGAACACTTTACCCCAAAAAGAAACCCCTTACCCATTAACATTTACTCCTCATTCTTGTCCTCCCAGCCAACCCCTGGAAAGCACCCGTCTACTTTTGCTATCCATGGATTTGCCTATTCTGGACATTTCTAGTCCTTTGCTGTACAGTAATGAGCACCCATGTAGTTACATCTCTTCACACACACGCAGATAGATACCTGGGGCCTCCTTCCACACCCTGGAGGGCTTTTCCCTTCTGGGGGACTCCAGCAGGTTTGACCAAGGATGTCTTTCTGACTCTTCACAGGTGCCCAGGGTGGCTCAGTGGCCCGCACGCTCCTGGAAGATGGGACATTTAGGGTTCGAGTGGTGACCCGGGACCCTGGGCAGAAGGCAGCGAAGGAGCTGAGGCTGCAAGGTGCAGAAGTAGTGCAGGGAGACCAGGATGACCAGGCCAGCATGGAGCTGGCCCTGACTGGGGCTCATGCCACCTTCATTGTGACCAACTACTGGGAAAATTGCAGCCAGGAGCAGGAGGTCAAGCAGGTAAGGGCAGGCGGGAGGGTGTGGGAGGCCAGGGCTAGAGCAGGACATCGTAGCAGGCACCAGACAGGGCTGACCACTGCAGGCCTCTCTTCCCATTTGCGTCCTAGGCTGTGATGAGGGTGGAAACTGCTGCGTCCTTATCTAATGACTTCTCTTTTTCTTTTTGAGATATTAGTCATTCACCATTTTAAAGTATACAATTTAGTAGTTTTTAGCATATTCACAAAGTTGTACAACCACCACCTCTCTCTAATTCTAAAACATTTTCATCTCAGAAGAAACTGTGTATTCATTAGCAATCACTCCCTGTCCCCCCACCCCACCCCAGGCAATCACTCTTCTACTTTACATCATCCAATGACTTTTTACACTTTCTGTAAAACCAACGTTTTGTTTGTTTGTTTTTTGAGACAGAGTGCTCTGTCACCCAGGCTAGAGTACCCTGGCGTCAGCCTAGCTCACAGCAACCTCAAATTCCAGGGCTCAAGCGATCCTCCTGCCTCAGCCTCCCAAGTAGCTGGGACTACAGGTGTGTGCCACCATGCCCGGCTAATTTTTCTATTTTTAGTAGAGACGGGGTCTTGCTCTTGCTCAGGCTGGTCTGGAACTCCTGGGCTCAAACGATCCTCCAGCTTTGGCCTCTCAGAGTGCTAGGATTACAGGCAGGAGCCACCGTGACTGGCCATGATGATTTAATCATTTGTCCTGGGTCACACAGCTAGTATGTTGCAGAGACTCCTTGAAACCTAAGCAGCCTGTGTGTTTTGGTTTTTGTGGGTTTTTTTGAGACAGAGTCTCACTTTGTTGCCCAGGCTAGAGTGAGTGCCGTGGCATCAGCCTAGCTCACAGCAACCTCAATCTCCTGGGCTCAAGCGATCCTCCTGCCTCAGCCTCCCGAGTAGCTGGGACTCCAGGCATGCGCCACCATGCCCAGCTAATTTTTTCTATAGATATTAGTTGGCCAATTAATTTCTTTCTATTTGTAGTAGAGACGGGGTCTCGCTCTTACTCAGGCTGGTTTCGAACTCCTGACCTCGAGCAATCCGCCCGCCTCGGCCTCCCAGAGTGCTAGGATTACAGGCGTGAGCCACTGCGCCTGGCCTAGCCTGTGTGTTTAACTGCTGAGCTGTGGCGCCTCTGACTCCCAGGGCTCTGTAAGGAAGACGGACAAACTCCCTGGGCAGGATGCGCTCAGAGCAGCAGAGATGGGACATGTGCACCATCATATGGGCCTCCACCGCAGCAGACCTGCCCACCCTCCCGTGTTGCACATGGTGGGCTGTAGTCTAGCATGACCCAAGAGTTGTGGAGAAGTAACTCTTAAGAGTCTGGGTGGTAGAAGGCTTCCAGTTCCATGTGAGCAGGTGTGGTCCTCTGTGTGAGCAGGTGTGGTCCTCTGTGTGAGCATCATTCCAGAAGACTGGGCTTCCTTAGGGGTGAGTGGGGTCTGGCTCTCAGCCTCAGGCAGTGACTAGGGACACACCTCCTTCCTCTTAGCCCCATGCTCTCCTTTTCTGCCCACCAGGGAAAGCTGCTGGCCGATCTGGCCAAGCGCCTGGGCCTGCGCTACGTGGTCTACAGTGGCCTGGAGAACATCAAGAAGCTGACGGCAGGGAGACTGGCAGCGGGCCACTTTGATGGCAAAGGGCAGGTGGAGGAATATTTCCGGGACATTGGCGTCCCCATGACCAGCGTAAGGTTGCCCTACTATTTCGAGAACCTCCTCTCCTACTTCCTGCCCAAGAAAGCCCCAGATGGAAAGAGCTATCTGCTGAGTGAGTGCCCTTCCTCTTGCACAGTGAGGCGGGGTTCTCACCTTGTGATGCTGTAGTTGTAGCAGAAAGCGGGCTCATCATCACATGGTACTGGGCACGGGCCTTGGCTCCATCACCTTCGGCCTGGGACTGAGCAAGTCCTGTAACCTCCCTGGGCCTTGGCTTTCTATTCTGTGAAATGGGCATAACAGCGACAGTCGCAGGGGCCATGAGAATTCTCAGGATAGTGCAGTGTGATGTTCTGTCCATTGGAAAGCTTCACAGAGAGGAGCACAGTTGTTAGGTTTTAAAGATGAGGAGAAGAGGATTTGGGTGATGTGGTTCAGTTGTACATTTCACAAAATAGGAAAGCTCTTCTCGGTGCCCGCTGGCAAATCTATAAATGGGCTGGATGCCCTGGCCTGGGCTTGGAAGGTTCCTTCCTTACCCAACTTGTGTCCTGCAGTGGATGAGAACGAGGCCAGAGTGGGAGGGGCCGGTGCCTCCAGCTGGCCAGGCCTCACCCTCTGCACGAACACCAGCTCACGGGGCACAAGAGCACGTCAGCACTGGCAGGGAGCCTGGGGGAGTCCTGCCCTCCCAGTGAGCAGAGCCTCGTGCTGATACTTCATTCCCTTGAGCTCTCTGGGTGATCTGATGCAGCACCTTCCTCTAGGTGAGGATGGCAGGACCCAAGCACTCCTGGGGCCACGCCTGCCTCCTCACCTACTAAACCAGAACCTGGAAGGAGTCATTCATTCATTCATCTATTCATATTTAGTGAGCCCCTTGTGGATGTGCTGCTCTGGGCTGGCCCAAGCATTTGGTTAACCTGGATTCCTGCTGATTGAGTTGATATTTGGAGTCTCCACCCATAGGTGGATATTCCAGCTTCCAGGAAATCAGGATGCGATGGAGCACTGCAGGGCTGCTACCTCCAGATCCGCAGGACTGTGTGCACCAGGCCTTTCTTTTCCTTTGTCTGTCGACTCAGCCCTGGGCGAGGGGGCAGGTCCAGGTTCCCGTCCACGTTCCGGGAATGCAGCTGGCCCGGCTCAGAGACCCTGAGTGGCCCACCGGGGGCAGTGCCCAGATTCCCTCCTGACTCCCCTGCTGCCTCTGCACCACCACAGACACCAAGGCTGACAGGCAGGAAACCGGCTCTGACCCTTTGGAGGCGAGTTCTGCCCCTGGGGCACAAGGCAGCTTATCTCTCCTCACCCCACAGGCTTGCCCATGGGTGATGTTCCCATGGACGGCATAGCTGTGGCCGACCTGGGCCCTGTGGTGCTCAGCCTGCTGAAGACGCCAGAGGAATATGTTGGCCAGAACATCGGGCTCAGCACCTGCAGGCACACGGCCGAGGAGTACGCCGCCCTACTCACCAAGCACACTGGCAAGGCTGTGCATGATGCCAAGGTGGGCTCCTCCCTCCCTCAGGACTCAGGCAGCCTTGGTCAGGTCCTTCTAACTCCTGGTGGGGCTTTATGGAGCTATAGGGAAAGAGTATTTAGGGCTGCCCCACCCCGCTGGGCAAGGTAACTCTTAAGTTCATTTGTTAATTGTTAACATTTATGCTGTGCTAAGGGTGGTCAGAGTGAAATTTCTGGTTCAGGTGTTTATTTTGTTTGTTTGTTTGTTTTTGAGACAGAGTCTCGCTTTGTTGCCCAGGCTACAGTGAGTGCTGTGGCATCAGCCTAGCTCACAGCAACCTCAAACTCCTGGGCTCAAGCGATCCTGCTGCCTCAGCCTCCCGAGTAGCTGCGGCTACAGGCATGCGCCACCATGCCTGGCTAATTTTTTCTACATATATTAGTTGGCCAATTAATTTCTTTCTATTTATAGTAGAGATGGGGTCTCGCTCTTGCTCAAGCTGGTTTCGAACTCCTGACCTTGAGCAATCCGCCCGCCTTGGCCTCCCAGAGTGCTAGGATTACAAGCGTGAGCCACCGTGCCCGACCTGGTTCAGGTGTTTAGACCAAGTAGAGAGAAAGATTTCCAGGAGGAGGGGATGGTAAGAGCCAAGGCAAGAAAGGGTAGGAAGGCAGGACCTGCTGGCTCCTCTAAGGGGTGTGGTGTAGAGGGAGGGTCAGGGAGGGAGGCTGGAAAGGTGAGCGCAGCCCCAGCCCCATGTGGCCTGGCTGGGTGGGTGGGAGACCCACTGTCTCACTCTCCCTGCTGACTCTTAGGCTTCGTGTCCCTAACCCTGGGTACCTTGTTTCTAATGTCTGTCATTCCCATTAAGACCTACTCATTAAAATCTGGGAAACACCAAGTCATTAAAAGACAGCCACAGAGCCCACCTACACCCAAGCAGAGCAGTACAGGGAGGGGTTGCAGGGAGGGGTGCGGTGGTCACACTCCTGGACTCAGACCCCGGCATCAGCACTCTAGGCCCACCGGCATGTGGGCCTGGACACACTCCCTGACCCCTCTCTGCCTTAGTTTCCTTATTTGTAAAATGGGTGTATTATTGGTATCCTCCTCTTTAGGTTGTGAGGATTAAACAAACTAAGCAGTATAAAACCTTTCTTAACACAATGCTAGCACCTCAAAATCATGCACTAAATGAGCATGTATTAGCATTTTTATAAAAGGCCTGATCCGGGTAATGGAAAATTCAAGAATCTGAGGAGTTAAGATTCAGTTCAGTAGGGAAAGCTTCGGTTTTTGAGCAAAATGATGCAAGCAGAGCCTCAATTTGGAAGGTACTGAGAAGTTTTCATCTCATGATCTTGAAAGAACAGTCTTTAAACCGACCTTGAATGTCAAGTAGTTCATGAGAACAGTGGGTGTCTGAACTTTCAGCTTTAGTAGAAAGTTTTCGAACAGCCTCGTGGTGAGAAACTCAGGTTGCAGCCAAGATACCACCGGTGGCTCTGGGTGTAGCAGGCTGGGAGACCCCGACTCACCCAGCCTCCCCCCCTCCTCCCCGGGGCGCTGGAGGACATGGAACATGACCGGCTGCCTCTGCTTCCAGGCCACGCCTGAGGACTACGAGAAGCTTGGCTTCCCCGGAGCCCAGGACCTGGCCAACATGTTCCGTTTCTACGCCCTGAAACCCGACCGCAACATTGAGTTGACCCTGAGACTCAACCCCAAGGCCCAGACGCTGGACCAATGGCTGGAGCAGCATAAAGGGGACTTTGCCCAGCTGTGACCTGCCCACCTCACAGCCCTGAGCGTGGGATGGGAGGCAAGGTCATCCATCCTTTCTTGTATTACCAAAAAAAAAAAGTGTTTTAAATAAAGCCATTGTTCTCACAGATGGTTTCCAAAAGAACAGGACTCTGTGTCTGGGACTTGGGTCAGGGTGGCAGGCAGGGCACCAACAGCATAACAGTTCCCACAAGCGTCAGCAAGTGGCCAGGGCTGCAGGGCTCAGTTGGTGACGAGATGAGTGACCTAAACTTATGTTTAGGCAAATTAGTGAAATGGAGCATTCTGACCTATTCCGGCTGTACTTGGAATGTAGGATGGAGAGGAGGCCCAGCCACCAGGGGCAGTGCCTCTGACGTCCCCGCACACACCCTTCACCTCCGAGAGCTCAGTGCTCAGGAGGCCACCTGCTATCTGTTCTTTCAGCTGCGGACAGACTCTGGAGGGGACGGGGAAGACACAGGCCCACCTCCATCTCCCTCCTCACCCTCTTGTCCTGGGGTGGGACTGGGGCTGGCGCCAGGGAGCAGCCCAGGATGTGGGCAACCTTCAGAACAGGCTGGAAGAAAGAACAAGCAAAGGAGTGTGACGGAGCTGGGGACCACAGGGCACAGTCACTAGAGTCTGTTGAGCAAAGGCGATGCTGCCCGAGGCAAAGGCCGGGAGGTGAAACCATGGCAGAAACAGTCCGCCTTGCTCATTGTGGAGAAAAGGGACAGGGCCCAGAGAGAATGTGTCATTCCCCAAGGATACATGGCAGCTCTATGAATTTTAACACATGTAGGCGCTTGTACAAGCACTGTCACAGCTGTCTGACTAGCCCACCCTGGGCCTCAGGACCCTCAGCCACAAAAATTCAGTCCATCCACTGATTGATTAAAGCATCTCTTTGACAACTTCCCAGCATGGTGGATCCAATCCAGGGGTCCCCAGCCTATGGTGAGTTGTATAATTATTTCATTTTATGTTACAATGTAATAGAAATAAAGTGCACAATAAATGTAATGCGCTTGAATCATCCCAAAACCATACACCCCCACCTGCCTGTCTGTGGAAAAATTGTCTTCCATGAAAACAGTCCTTGGTGCCAAAAAGGTTGGAGACCACTGCTATATACAATATTCACAAAAAAGTGATGCTCCCTGCCTTGAGCTTACTTAGTGGGAGAGCCAGATACAAATGCACAAAAGATAGACAGCTTCCAAGTAGGACGAGCAGGCTGAAGTCCCCATGGTGGGAAGGAGCCTCCCAGGCAGGGTAGGAGGGATAGACTCCAAGTGTGGGCTTCTGAGATAGGTCAGGAAGAGGATAGGAGAGGTCATCTGTGTCCATCCCTAGGTGATGCTCGAGTCCCCCAGGCCTGAGGGTGGGAAACACCCAGCCTGTTGTCACTCCTTGTGGTTCCTGGCCCTGTGCCCCAGGGTCAGTACCACCCAGCCTTATTTTGTATTTCTAGATACATCATCTTGGCCAGGTGTGGTAGCTCACACCTGTAATTCTAGCACTTTAGGAGGCCAAGGTGGGAGGATGGCGTGAGCCTGGGAGTTTGAGGCTGCAGTTTGGATAGTGCAGTGTGATGTTCTGTCATTGGAAAGCTTCACAGAGAGGAGCACAGGTTGTTAGGTTTTAAGATGAGGAGAAGGAGGATTTGGTTGATGTGGTTCAGTTGTACATTCACAAAATAGGAAAGTTCTTCTCGGTGCCCGCTGGCATCTATAAATTGGCTGATGCCCTGCCTGGCTTGGAAGGTTCCTTCCTTACCCAACTTGTGTCTGCGTGGATGAGAACGAGGCCAGAGTGGGAGGGGCGGTGCCTCCAGGCTGGGCCAGGCCTCACCCTTGCAGAACACCAGCTTCACGGGGCACAAGAGCACTGTCAGCACTGGCAGGGAGCCTGGGAGAGTCCTGCCCTCAGTGAGCAGAGCCTGTGCTGATACTTCATTCCCTTGAGCTCTCTCGGGTGATCTGATTGCAGCACTTCCTCTAGGTGAGGGATGCAGACCCAAGCACTCCTGGGGCACACGCCTGCCTCCTCACCTACTAAACCAGAACCTGGAAGGAGTCATTCATTCATTCATCTATTCATATTTAGTGAGCCCCTTGTGGATGTGCTGCTTCTGGCTGGCCCAGCATTTGGTTAACCTGGATTCCTGCTGATTGAGTTGATATTTGGAGTCTCCACCCATAGGTGGATATTCACAGCTTCCAGGAATCAGATGCGATGGGAGCACTTGCAGGCTGCTACCTCCAGATCCGCAGGACTGTGTGCCACCAGGCCTTTCTTTCCTTTGTCTGTCGACTCAGCCCTGGCGAGGGGGGCAGGTCCAGGTCCCGTCCACGTTCCGGGGAATGCAGCTGGGCCGGCTCAGAGACCCTGAGTGGCCCACCGGGGGCAGTGCCCAGATTCCCTCCTGACTCCCCTGCTGCTCTGCACCACCAGACACCAAGGCTGACAGGCAGGAAACCGGCTCTGACCTTTGGAGGGCGAGTTCTGCCCCTGGGGCACAAGGCAGCTTATCTCTCCTCACCCCACAGGCTTTGCCCATGGGTGATGTTCCCATGGACGGCATAGCTGTGGGCCGAACCTGGGCCCTGTGGTGCTCAGCCTGCTGAAGACGCAGAGGAATATGTTGGCCAGAACATCGGGCTCAGCACCTGCAGGCACACGGCCGAGGAGTACGCCGCCCTACTCACCAGCCACTGGCAAGGCTGTGCATCATGATGCCAAGGTGGCTCCTCCCTCCCCCAGGATCAGGCAGCCTTGGTCAGGTCCTTCTAACTCCTGGGGGGTTGGGGCTTATGGAGCTAAGGGAAGAGTATTTAGGGCTGCCCCACCCGCTGGGCAAGGTAACTCTTAATTCATTTGTTAATTGTTAACATTTATGTGTGCTAAGGGTGGGTCAGAGTGAAAATTTCTGGTTCAGGTGTTTATTTGTTTGTTGTTTGTTTTGAGACAGAGTCTCGCTTGTTGCCCAGGCTACAGTGGAGTGCTGTGGCATCAGCCTAGCTCACAGCAACCTCAACTCCTGGGCTCAAGCGATCCTGCTGCCTCAGCCTCCCGAGTAGCTGCGGCTACAGGCATGCGCCACCATGCCCGGCTATTTTTCTACATATATTGTTGGGCATTAATTTCTTTCTATTTATAGTAGGAAACGGGGTCTCGCTCTTGCTCAAGCTGGTTTTGAACTCCTGACCTTGAGCAATCCGCCCGCCTTGGCCTCCCAGAGTGTAGGATTACAGGTCTGAGCCACCGGCCCGACCCTGGTTCAGGTGTTAGGACCAAGTAGAGAGAGAAAGATTTCCAGGAGGAGGGGATGGTGAAGAGCCAAGAGGCAAGAAAGGGTAGGAAGGCAGACCTGCTGGGCCTCTAAGGGGTGTGGTGTGGAGGAGGAGTCAGGGAAGGAGGCTGGAAAGGTGAGCGCAGCCCCGCCCCATGTGGCCTGGCTGGTGGGTGTGGAGACCCGCTATCTCACTCTCCCTTGGACTCTTAGGCTTCGTGTCCCTAACCCTGGGTGCCTTGTTTCTAATGTCTGTCATTCCCATTAAGACCTACTCATTAAAATCTGGGAAACACCAAGTCATTAAAAGACAGCCACAGAGCCCACTACACCCAAGCAGAGCAGTGTGGAGGGGTTGCAGGGAGGGTTGCGGTGGTCACACTCCTGGACTCAGACCCGGCATCAGCCCTCTAGGCCCACCGCATGTGGCCTGGACACACTCCCTGACCCTCTCTGCCTTAGTTCCTCATTTGTAAAATGGGTGTATTATTGGTATCCTCCTTTTAGGTTGTGAGGATTAAACAAACTAAGCAGTATAAACCTTTCTTAAACAATGCTAGCACCTCAAAATCATGCACTAAATGAGCATGTATTAGCATTTATAAAAGGCCTGATGCGGTAATGGAAAATTCAAGAATCTGAGGAGTTAAGATCAGTTCAGTAGGGAAAGTTCGTTTTGAGCAAAATGATGCAAGCAGAGCCTCAATTTGGGAAGGTACTGAGAAGTTTTCATCTCATGATCTTGAAAGAACAGTCTTTAAACCGACCTTGAATGCAAGTAGTTCATGAGAACAGTGGGTGTCTGAACTTTCAGCTTTAGTAGAAAGTTTTCGAACAGCCTCGTGGTGAGAAACTCAGGTTGCAGCCGAGATACCACCGGTGGTCTGGTGTAGCAGGCTGGGAGACCCCGACTCACCAGCCTCCCCCCTCCTCCCCGGGGCGCTGGAGGACATGGAACATGACGGCTGCCTCTGCTTCAGGCCACGCCTGAGGACTACGAGAAGCTGGCTTCCCGGAGCCCAGGACCTGGCCAACATGTTCCGTTTCTACGCCTGAAACCGACCGCAACATTTGGTGGACCCTGAGACTCACCCAAGGCCCAGACGCTGGGCCATGGCTGGAGCAGCATAAAGGGGACTTCGCCCAGCTGTGACCTGCCCACCTCACAGCCCCGAGTGTGGGATGGGAGGCAAGGTCATCCTTTCTCGTATTACCAAAAAAAAAGTGTTTTAAATAAAGCCATTGTTCTCACAGATGGTTTCCAAAAGAACAGGACTCTGTGTCTGGGACTTGGGTCAGGGTGGCAGGCAGGGCACCAACAGCATAACAGTTCCCACAAGCGTCAGCAAGTGGCCAGGGCTGCAGGGCTCAGTTGGTGACGAGATGAGTGACCTAAACTTATGTTTAGGCAAATTAGTGAAATGGAGCTTCTGACCTATTCGGCTGTTACTTGGAATGTAGGATGGAGAGGAGGCCCAGCCACCAGGGGCAGTGCCTCTGACTCTCCCGCACACACCCTTCACCTCCGAGAGCTCAGTGCTCAGGAGGCCACCTGCTATCTGTTCTTTCAGCTGCGGACAGACTCTGGAGGGGACGGGGAAGACACAGGCCACCTCCATCTCCCTCCTCACCCTCTTGTCCTGGGGTGGGACTGGGGGTGGCGCCAGGGAGCAGCCCAGGATGTGGGCAACCTTCAGAACAGGCTGGAAGAAAGAACAAGCAAAGGAGTGTGAGGAGCTGGGGACCACAGGGCACAGTCACTAGAGTCTGTTGAGCAAAGGCGATGCTGCCCGAGGCAAAGGCCGGACGTGAAACCATGGCAGAAACAGT